TGTGTTGAAGGGTCTGACACAGTGAGGAAACTACATAAAGTATTAATACTTAACTGATTTGCTGTGGACTTGCATGGATTGCAATGTATGTTTAATGTTTGTGGTGCTGTACCATACAGGAATGTAATACTTGGATACTGCAAGCGAAACATTGTTCACTCTTAAATAAATCACAGTAAAGTCACTCCAGTTTGCAATGGTTAATTCTGATTTTTAGATTATATTTATATTTTATTTTATCAATGAGTTTGAGTTGAATGTGTTGGTTACATTTATTTGTTTGTGTTTATGTTTATGAAGCTATACTATGACACTAGATGGATTTCCACTTTTATACTGACTGGTTGCTGTTTTGTACTTGTTTGTATATAAGAATATGTGGCCAGCCATAAAAAATATGTATTCTTATAGATCAAACTATAATTAATTTCCTCAACCTTAACCAGACAAAATATTGATACATTAAAATACACTTTAATGCATTATTAATAATAATCAAATGATATAGGGGCCATTGTGTTACCATCATAACTACTTTTGCTTTTGATAGTATATTAATGCTTTATTTTAGTAGTGGAGTATTTTTACAGTAATAATGCTACTTTTGCTTAAAAGATCTGAATACATAAAAATGCATAATAAATACAGATGTGTGAGAATTTATGGGAAAAACCAACACAAACCTCCCTCTCTCTGGAAGCCTTCTCCATAGGTGTTCAATTGATTCACATCATTTTCATTCTCATCAAACCATTCAATTCAGGCTTTTCTTTTCACTTGTCACCTGTCTGTACTTCTTGCACCACTGCTTATTAATATTTTTCAACTTGATTTCCTCTAGCTGGTGATATATTTGTATACAGACAGATACTGTCCCTATGCACGAGATTACAGACTGGATGTTTGACAGATTTTATTTTTATTTTTATATGATGTAATATGATATAATATGATACAGATCCATAAACTTGTTTGGATCTTTCTGGATACAGGTCCTTTTTGTCCAGTGTAATTATAATAGTTTTACAATATGAGGGGCATGCAGTCTTCCCAAACAAAATTCATGGTCATCTTAATGCCCTTGATGGTATTTCTTATTTCTTCTTCTTTTTTTCTCATTCATTACACTCTAGGGACTAGATAGTGAATTTGAGATGACCTTCTTCGCTTCCTCTAACATTCAGTCTTCTCTTTTCAATTTCTCTACTTTGCTGTTATGTTTCTGCTTTTAATAACTTTGTATCAGGATTGCAGCAGCTCTTTGCAGTCAGTGCAGGCCAGCAGCAGCAGCCTATAGCCACATGGCTCGCCTAACCACCGTGGCACCTCTTGGAAGTTGGCGCAGGTCAAATGCATCTTAATTCAAAGCAAAGAAATGAGAGAATGGCCGTGAGTCGGGCCGGTTCCACTGGCCGTGCCAAGGTCAGCATTCCTCGACGGGGCCGTTGCCTAGTGGAACTTTTGTTTCACAGTTTGTGTAAATCTCCAGGGAGGGACGGTAGCCATATAGGAGCGGGAGAGGAGAGAAAAGAAAGGAGTGTGCAAATGAAGCTGCTGTTTGGGTGAATATGCAGGCAGGATGTATGGGAAGGTATGGACACATTTTAGCCATTTTTTGGGAAGTCTCAATGTGGTTTGGAATCACTCACAAATAGGAAAAAAGTCACATAAACATGAACATATAGAGGTAGTCATGGGCAGATCTAGAGGGCTGGCACACATAAAAAAGGCCTGTTTGGTGTCAAATGCTGTCAATTTTAACACATTAATTTAGATTAATTGTAAGAATATCATCTTAAAAAACAGAAAATATTTTTTTGGTCTGTTGTGGTCACATTTTAGACTAAGTGATCCCTATGCTCAAACATGCAAAACAATTCATAAAACAGTTGATTTCTAATGCCACCTTTAGATATTTTGTGCTTTACTAATGTACCACAATAATGTTTGTGAGTTCTCCAAGGAGATATTGATATATGTGATTGTTATCAGCAGATATTTCTGTCACCCCTTAAAGTCTCCGTGATCCATCCTCTGGACACCCCTTGAATATGTCTCTAGATCCGCCCTTGGTTAACCTAATAGTCTAATAATATCAGTGATTGTCCAACTTGCCCCGGTGTTATCTAGGCGACATAAGCGGGTTTAACGGTTTTGGAGATGCTATTAGACGCCATGGCCTAGTTTAGGGTCAGTGATTTGACTCCTTGATCCTCCTGCATGCCTCTGTTCAAACAAAGATTATTGCTCTGTTAAAACATAACAGCAACATTTAGTCTTTCTAAGCGGATCCTATAGATGCTAAAACGAATCCATGCTTTAATTCACATTTCAAAAATATTTTTTCACCAATATGATAAACGGAAATTAAGATTCCGAACATTTAAACATCTGTATGCAACACAATAAGGTCCTATAAACAGGCCAGGAAGTTCAAAGATTCTAAGGTTAAACATCAGGTCAACGCAAAACTAAAATGAACCAAACCGTCTGAGACGAGTTAGTATCAAACTAATAACGTGTGTGTATTTTACACACCTTTTATTGCACATTTTAACCCGGATCTTGCATTACACTACATGTACCGGCCTTCGCGTTTCGACAGAAATCACGCAGCAGTTGTAAGATGTGCGGGTGGATTACATTCCTACACAAACAATGTGTGTTTACGGTGCACTCACTTAATAAAATAATAATAATCAAACGCACTTTAAGAGATGATTTTGCGCACACAGGCCCAGAGACAGTTTATGGCGCAGACTCTGCGGGCCGCTGGCTTGAAAAGGCCAAACACACTTTAAACACACATTCACATTTCATTCATCAATTTAAAAACGTGTTTAAAACGTAAAATCTAAATCTGAATTTGGGCCTTGAATCTGTTCCATGGTGACTCAAAGAATATAATAAAATCAAATCCATCGATTACAATGAACTTCTTCCTGAAGCTTCTGCAGCATTTGTACAAATGTTTCCGGTTATTTAAAGGCCAAAAAAATGAATATTAGATTCATCCCCACTGTCACGTCTTTTTAATTCACTTTAGCTTATTCTAAGTGGTGCTTGAGGCCTAAATGAATTATCTGTCATGTAGTCTAACTGTTCGTTTTTTTGCATTTTATAAACCGTTTTTTGTTCAAATGAACTAACAGGAACGACGGTTATTAAATGTGGTAAATATAAAAGAGTGTGACAACTCTGATATATTTAATTACGCATTAATTGACAACCTTTTCACATAAAATAAGGGTCAAATGTCCCTGCTTGTAGACAGATGTCGTAGCCAAGAAATGCAAAATGAAAAACTTAAAAAATCAACCTGTATGTCGTTTTTTATTTAAAAACAGAATTATTAGGCCATTAATATGTGAAATATTCCTATTTTCAATGAATAGGCCCAACGTTAATAATATTACGATCTGAATCCGATGTTTCTTTTAACTAAATCTAAATAACAATAGGGGTTTCATGAATTCTGTGTTACTGGGGAGGGAAACGGAGGCTCCAGTGAGTTCCAACATGTAAGGATTCAAGCTGCATATTCCCGCCGCCTGCCTCTCTGTGAGGAACCGACTCTGAGCCCATAAGCTTTGTATTTGTCTATTTGTAAAGTGATAAAGTTGAATCAACAGACTCCATTGGAGGCAGGTGGGGATCCATTTCTGACAGCGCTCATCATTTCACTGCGTGACGTCTGCGGTTGCGCACTTCCGCGAGGTGCTCCGTTTGCCATAAAAGGTCAAAACCGCCACTTTGCTAATTTATTCATGAACACAGTCTGTTCTTAAAGCTTGACTCAGCTGACATTCCGGCTAAATTATATAAATAATTCGATATTTGTGGAGAATGAACACGGCGCTGCGGCCAGGAGTCACGCACCTGCTCTGTCTAACCTATCAGCTTTATTTCAGCTCACCTGAGTAGAAGAAAGCACTGGTTTTTATAGTGTGACTGTGGATCTATATGTGAACTATATGGAATGCAGTCCAGTGGTTTGGAGTGGTGCCTGTGCACAAATCTGTGAAAAAAATATGGCAAAGTGTTACAAATGTCTAAAATAAGCCTCCACATATAACAGATTATTGGCTGGTGAACGTTCTCACATTACAGCCATGGCACACTATAGATCTGTCAAAAAACCACCAGAATTAAATCGACCCTGGGTGGTAGAGCTGCAACCAATATGCTGACTTTAACCTTTTTAAAATAATATAAATATATGTGTTGTTGTTGTCAGGCTGGAGCTCCCATTGTAGCAACCCTTAACCTGCATTTAGACTGAATGTAAACTTCCCACTGTATTTCACACGCTCAGAAAATATTGGGGTTTATAATAACCTGCCTCCCCCCACCGCTCCCTCCCTCCCCCCTCTCAGTCGGCCCCGAGCTGCCCCTACACTTTTGCCGGTGAGAGCTACTAATCCCCTGCGTCCACGGTTTACTCTGAGCCCGTATTTAATTCCTCTAAACCCCCAGCTGCCGCCCTGGTTACTCACTGAACACGACAGACTGTGAACCGCTCTGGTTATTAATAATTCACCAGCAGCCCTCCGCTCCGCTCCGCTTCTCCGGCCGCGGCCGCAGGACACCGAGCGTCCTCAGTGGTGCGCGCCTTCAGCCACGCTGTGTTTTTTAGTTTACTTCATTGTGGCCGCCTCTGTGTCTCGCACATTTCACCTCCTCGTTGCTGCGCTCAGCCCTATTAGCAGTCCCCAGCTGGCCGTGCCCACCACCAAGTCCCCGCTATAGTCTCATCAACTCCGCGCGACATCCGCGCTGCCACATGGCGAGTTTTGTTCCCGTTCCCTCCGCAACTTTCTCCGGACACTGAGAGGAACAGGTGGGGTCGCTTGGTGTAGGACCGGAGGAGGGACGCTCTGCATTCTCACATCAGCTGAAAGCCGGAGCATGCACAACGGAGAGCGGGCGCGGCGTCGTCCCCTCTGCAGGAGCAACAGCTGATTCTGTGAGCGCGTAAGCAGAGAGTGCAAGCTACTTACAGTCGGTGCACAGCCAGACTCCTGCTCTGTCACTCGGGGCTGCAGACGGTGACTGTGTCGGTGGCGCAGCCAGCAGAGCGCGGAGACTCGGTGGACGTTACGGTACCGGGACAGACTGGAGAGCAGCGCGCGCTGATACGGACGGTTTTCATGGAAATACCACGAGCTGAAAGCGAAAATAAACACCTTGCGTGAAGAAGTCGGGAAGCAGACGATTTGGATTATACGGCTCTGTCTTCCTGTGCCCCCCCTGACTGAGAAGAGTTGACTGCAGTTTACAAAAAAAAAGAAAAAAATGTTTACCGGGCAACAGGCCGTGTATTAGGGCTCTTTTGCTTCCGGTATAAGGCCCAGCTGAACAAGAAACCGAGCAGTGTTCTCTCTCCCACACACTTTCTTTCTTTCTTTTTTTTTTCTTTTTTTTGGAAGCCGAACTTTTGAGAGTGGAAAATGGGTCTTTGAGAGTGTTGGCACATTTCCCTACACCACAATGGTACGTGCTATGTAAACCAATAATTTGCTCATTTATGCAGTCAGCTTTCAGATTCATTGTAGTTGTTCATAGATTTAATGATACACAGAAAGAACTTACAAGCAAAGTTTAGTGGGCTAAGTTAGCCACTTATAATTCTTGTGTGTGTTACTATTTACTTGTGCAGCTAATGGGTAACAGTCACCAAAGAGTGTGCCAAGTCCTTCCACCTAACTGTATATTATGGTAGTATGGTTATTTTTAAATTAGTAGAGTGTGCCTTGTTGGGATATCGCATGTAGCTTTAAAGTGATGTTAATGTTAGGAAAACATAATGCACCTTATTTTAATAGTTAAATAACATGTTGCCAAGATGTCTTCTGGCCAAATCAGTGTCCAGCCCTCTCAGTTGACCACCCGATGCCCACTGCCTTCTGCCGTTTCATCCACATGGAGAACATAACTTCTCTCATTGCAGTGGTCTCTGATGTGGGCCCGTCTGCAGACTATTAATAGCCACATATATGATACGAGCTATCGCATGTCATACAATGTGAGAAGCTAATCAAGAGCCCAAACCCCACCTAAAAGCAAAGTTGAACAGAGTTTTGAAATTTGGCTATAAGAGGACGGAACTTATTTTTGCTTCAGCATCCAATTACGCGCCGGTTTGATTTGTGCGTAATTACGCACAGCGGTTTAGACCAGTTCCTTCATTACGCAGGTGATTTATATGTGTAAATCCTGTGACTTCACACAGCAAAAGTTGGGGATCTGCTCATTTTAAGCATTATTTTGTGATTTTATTTGAGCTTTCCTTATAATTTGAATTGGCTGAGTGCTTTCAGAAAATCTATATTGTTTCCTGTTTTATCCCTATTTGGCCCTATAGGATATTAGTCTGAATTTGAATAATGTATGACCTGTGCGGTTGTGAAAGCATTTTAATGCAATGCTTGTAGGTTTCAAAATGAGTAATAAAAAGTCTGTTTTATACAGAATTCTAATATATCGCTTACACGTCCTTGACCATTAGATATTCTTTTTTCTGGCACGAAATGAGTCAAGTCAGGCAATAGTTAGGGGAACCTCCCACATACAACCTTGAAGCTTCTTAGATACCAGGAAGGGATCCTATTTGCACATGAATATGGAAGATTATTAGTATGAATAATTATTTGTTTACGAGCATCCTAGCTGACATGGCAGCTGCCCAAGAAGCTCATCAGTAAAAATGATACAGAATTCAGGACAGGCCTCACATGGGATTATCTCAACTTGTTATTCTCCTACTTACAGCAGCAACACACCTCTTTTCTTTTTTTCATTTTTTTTTATAGGAAATGCTATATTGTGAATTTGTGCCAAGTGTTTCAGTTGCGTGTTAGTTTAGTCAGAATGCACTGGAGGCATCTGTCAATCAGTGTCAGGATTCTGTGAGCTTCCCCCGAGGCTGGTGCTCCTTCTCTGACACAAAAATAAACACTTGGGATGATCTGTATCTGTGGCACTACAGGTTATTGATTTTTCCAGATACGCTGGAAAGCAAAAAGGGAACCCATCATGACCCAACATCATGAAACTGTAAACATGACACATGTTTTAGTTCCAAATGAAAGTTTAAATAGATATCACACCTCCATTATAAGCTGTTTTAGTTTGTTTTAAATGTTGATGCACAGTATAGGAACATAAGAAACAAATGCAGTAATCATAGAGTGTAAATAGCTGTGTAAAGAGTTGGGGTAATTGTATCCTGCACTGGGTGTGTGTGTTTGTGTGTGCAGCCCGCCTCATGATGATCAGACAAGCGGTTTTCCAGCCTTGTATGATCTCCCTCTTGGCTGTTGCTGCCAGTGATGTCACCTCTTACTGTATACAGAATATTATGCTATTATGTTTGTCCAGGCCTTGACATTTCCCTGGAAAAATAAATAAGGCTTCAAGCAGGCCGTGATAGCTCATGCGGTGTGTAAGCTTTTGCCATAGTTTAAAAGATGGAAACTCTGATATACGCTCAAACAGCGTAAATATTAGGAGAGTGAGCTCAGATGGGTTTGTCGGGTTGATTCGTTTTTAAGCTGTTGTAACTGTTGTTGTACGGTTTAGCAGAGCGACCATCGAGAGGCGGGATCATGTGACAAACTCCTTGACGTGACATTCACGTTGAATCAAAAGGAAGAGAAAGTGCCACTTCTGACAAAGAGTGCATGTATCTTTTTAAAAGCAAAGCAACTGGTGGAGGCAGACAGGACTTAAAGGTGCACTCCAGTGATTTAGTATTGCACTTGCCCTGACTTTGGGGACTAATGAGAGACAGATAAAAAATCTGAATCAGAATCAAACCAGCAGAAGCCAAGATACCCTTTTAGTCACTCTGATGAGTCAAATACAATTCCCATAATGCAACTCAATTGCATCATTCATTAAACCTTCTCTTCTTGTTGTATGCCCCTATCTTAACTCCAACTCCAAATTGTAACCCATTGCTTCCTGTTAAATGTCTGAAGTCTCAAGCTTAACTCAACATAACCCTGATGACATCAATGGTTAATGAGCGTAGAGTGTCTATAATAACTATTTTTTAATCATTAAAATGATAAAATGAAGACAAACCCTTTACAAGGTACAAAACAATAAAAACATTAAAGTATACAGGCAGCTCAATACTCCTCTTGATTTTAACTTAACAATATTACAGGTCTCATCTTCAGGGTCAAGTTTGTGAAATAAAGTGTTCTAGCATTCAGTCTATTTTTACCTGCATTTCAATTCAAACAGACACTCACACACTCACAACAAAAAGCTGTTTTATGAGTGGTGCATTTACTCTTGAAAAGATGAATGGTGATTTCATCAAAAGTACCGTGATTAACTTGTGAGTGGAGAGCACTGTGTGCCAGGTGAAAGCTGCAGGGTCCCTTTTGCAGCCTGTCTTCATGACTTGTTTAAGTTTTGTTAAGAGTTAAGAGTTTTGTTCAGAGCAGTGGTTCTCAAACTTTTTCCCCCGCGATCAGCTTAAAACATGTTTGGTAGAAAAGAAATTACTATAAAAGGAAGTACAATATAGCGCTGCTCCATCAGTGTCTGATTTATTAAACATCAACCATGGCACTAAAAAACACAATGCTTCATTTCATAACACTGAGACGACATTGAAGTTGCAATGAACTATGTCTTTTTGATAAGTTGCACTTACAGTTTAGTGAGAAACATGACCTTGTGCTTCACTGAGGGTCTGTGATATTCTCTGTGGCAGGGAGGAAATTGCTGGCATCAAACTCTCTCCCAGATGTTTCACTGCAGTTAACAGTTATACTGAAAATAGGAGTATAGTGAATATAAAATGTAGTTCATCAAACTTACATTTAATACAATATAATTATTTTAGGATTATGTATGGCTGATATTTTTTAAATTACAGTATCCACTGCAGTACTACAAAGTACTACATAATACATTATGCAACATTATCACTGCACATACCAATTGTTATGCACATATTTATATGATATATGATGAGAGGAAATATAGTTTAAAGAGCAAAAGATTTATTTACGGGTCAGAAAAGGAGACATGAATAAAGACAAATAAGAAGCATCCAGTTAAGTGCATTTAAAAGGTAATGGTGACAGCATAGACTATATAAATAAAACTGGCTCAGTCTGCTAATCCAAAAATAGGCAAAGAGGTGGAGCGTGGGTGGAGCTGAATGAAGCCGGGTTACTGAAAACAG